ATTCTTGTGGTCACAAGAGTTCCAGCATATAAACTAAAACACAGGATCAGCACCTTGTATATAAATTAAAAAAACAACTAAAAAAAGCCACTTTGCTACAGATTAAACACTTGCTGCAAATAAACAAATCACTGCAATTTCTACTGTTCCAAAGTTCAGGACTTTTCTATGAAGTTGTATGAAAATGCCAAAAAAAGGATTGCTGAGGAGACACGTCCATGTCACTTGATCCTTTCAAGCTCCATTAAGAAAAGCAGTTAATAATCACAACATTTGAAAGGTGAGATTCTTAGGTCTAAAAGTACCCATTTCCAGCCACATCACAGTATTAAAAGTAGCATTGGTAGGGCGCTTATCTGAACGATAACAAGATTTTAGCATCTATTATTCTGAATCCTGGAACAACTAGATGAACTGTATGAAAAATAGAAATCTCAGATTTCAAATTAAACTAATGGGTAGTTGCTGTCATTGCTACCAAACTAGACTGCTCCTAAATAAGAAACAAAAAAGCATTTCCTAAAATTGTATTTATTGTAGGACTAGTAAGATATTAGCTTTAGAATCTTTAAGCAGTTTAAAAAACACACTAGATCTGTGCCTGCAGTCAATTAGCAGACAACATATAACAATGGAAGTTTTAGCAGGTTTTGCATGTTTAGGGGTTTTCCCCCCTCAAAAAAATATTTTCCACTCTCATTTTCAAACATTTTTTTTAAATTCAAAGTAACATTGAAAAAAATATGTTACTGGTCAGTATCCAGTAATCTGCAAAAGTCTGCACCATGTACTGAACAGAACAAATGGAAGTAAACTAGAACTCCTTCAGCAGTTCTTTGGAACTCCATCTTTCAAATACTTTTTTCTTTCTTTTTAAACAAAAACCACTAGTGTTGCATCACACATACCTCTTCAGTGTTTTTACCACAAGTTAGTCACATGTCAAGAACTCCCTGTGTGCAAAGCATTAAAAACAGATGTAGATTATTTCACACACTACAGACATGCATCCTGCAAGAAGCTATCAGGATAAAAATTTAGATTACAGCATCACTTAGATTAGAAACACAACTACAAGAATAAAGGAAGTAAGTATAACTATGCCAAATTTTTGTTCTACTTTGGTCACGTACAATTATCCCATGCAGGCATTCTGGAAGCTCAGCATGCAAATTACAAAGTTTAAAAACAAACCAACCAACCAACCCGCAGCATTTTCCCTGAATATTCTTGAACAATATCCAGTAAGACAGAAACGCCAATATTCTCATCATCTTTTTACTCTTCAAAATTCAAATTCAGTAGTAGTGCATATACATTCAAGAGAGAATAATTTGAACATATCTATAATAAAGACATTTAATAACAGATTTTTCAGCTCTCAATTTCTTTCTCAATGTAGTTAATGCGTTAGGAAACAACTGCAGCAGCAACAGCTCACATAAGCCACTGTTCTTGTTCTTTTCTGTACTTCTCAGACCACTTCTGAGTAAGCTCTAGGTAAACATTTGGTTTATGGGGCTTATAATCAAGGTAAACCACCTGTCCAGTCCGTTTGGGGACAGCTTTTTCAATCTGAGTTCCCTCATGCCATTCATTAAAAGATGTAATAGAAATAATTTCTGGCCGCACCAAAAGGGCTGCACTGAAGGCAGTCTCATAGTACTTCCCATTGACACGATTACGGGTGTTGTGGTTGTTCCATGGTCGGATACTGGTATCAATATACCCTGGCCCCACACTTGGAATAAACATTAAGTTGTTACTATCACAAAAGGCTTTTAAACTTGCCCAATTATGATGAGATGAGCCATAGGAGAAGCCATTGGTGGCAAAGTATGTGTACATTCCATCAAAGCCACTTCTGTGAATGTCATGCTTATGTCTTTCTTCTACAAGAAGTGCAATGAATAACGCATCATACGGAGTATTTCGAATAGTCTGGGATCCAGAAACAGTTAACAGATTTGCCCATATTTCAGGCATCGTTACATAAGAATCATAAACATAAAACATGGGAAGAAATCTGCCTGTGCTGGTCTTATGCCTGTAAAAGGCTGGATGGCCTCCATATCTATAAAGCAAACAAGTATCATTAAGACAAAATTTGCCATTTGGAAAAAACTGTTTTACAATCCGAGCTGAAGACTTTTCCTAAAAGACAGTGCATGCACTTCAAAACATAGCAATTCATATCCATTTTCAGTCCAGTGTTTGCTGAAGTATTAAATAATGAATCTGCAAAGAACCTTTAAATTACTACAAATTAGTAACTTAGTGTCAAACTGCACTATAGGTATTAGTTTTCTCTGAAGGGCAATTCTCTAATTCAGTATGAAATAAGACAGTCTAAGTATCATTGATAAACAAAACAACTAGTAGCTGTACAGAATTTATCGAGCTGAACTAAAATCATTAGAGGTCAACACATTAAAGCTCTAGCTGCTAGTTCGCCACTAAAAAAATGTATGTTTAATTCATATATCATGTAGCTAATACTTTAACTGCTTTAATCTGAAGTATTATGACTTGTAATACTAATGAATGTTGAAAGCAGTTTACATTTGAGTATCTATGTAAAATTCACACTTCAATATTTAAAAGACTGAGTTCTGTACCACTGAAATATGAACAAAGTTTCTTATAGTTTTCTTCAGTCTCAGTACACATTTTTATATATTCTTCCAAGCTTTAGGTAATATACAGAAGTCCCCTAAACCAGATTGTAACAAACCCCAAAGGAAACCATTCTGAAAGCACTCACTTGTCAATGATGTATTTGACATTGTGGTACATACTGCGATCATCTCTATCTTTGTAAGGTTCAATATGAAAAGTGACCTGAAAGATGAAAGCGTAGTAAGAGCAACACAAACGTAAAATACTATACTATTGAATATATGGGCACTGTGTATTATATGAAGCAAGTACCAATGACATTAAATATAGTTCTTCTTTACAGAACAAACATTTTCATTAGTTTATTTTGAGAATAATCCAGTGCTAGTTTGACTCCTGCACTGCTAAGATTACAAGCTTCAGATCCAAGGAAGTTTGGTAATAGAGTAAATATTTTTTTTTTTACATTAAAACAAAACACTGCTTTTGTTTTCCCTAGGCTACAGCAAGTAGCAAGCATGCTTCAGAAAACTTAAAAAAAACTACAGCAGAAACTAAAAGTTGAAATAAAATATTATCTATTCAAAAGTCAAAGAACAGATTAACGAATGAAACATTTTAATATTTACTCTCTAAACAATGTATTAAATTTGCTATAGATAATTCTCCAATAAGAGTTTTCAGTGTCAAAATAGATTTTAAGATATGGGAGATGAAAACTTTAATTTAAAATTTTATACATTTATTAACAGCGATAAACTCTTGGAACTAAATCTAATATAATGTACTGCTACTGCTCTGAATTTCAAGCTTGGAGCTTATGGAACTATTTAACCTACACATGTGAAGTAATTTCAATGTAAAAATGCCATTGTTTTCAAATATAAAATTAAATGGAAGAGTATATTACATTAATCAAAGCAACTAGTTTTTCAGAAGCAATTTTAGAGCAGAATGCATTTAATAAAGTCTTCTATAACTCTGCAACAGTAGCAAATTTCCATTGTAGAGCCAGTATGTATCTCTATTAGGTACAAACTATAGTGTTAGACTAAATCACTAGAACTGACAGGACAGGTTGAAGAGCACTATAATTTCATATTTCATTTCCAACTATCAAAACCAGGCAAATCAAAAAGACATATCTTTTAGCAGACTTGTATTTAGCAGACATAATAGAAATGTATTTTGTATGTTGGTTTTGGTCTACTGACATTCCTAACACTTAACTGTAATAACTTACTAGTGCAAGAATGTTTAAAAACATTACAGTGAAGGTAGCATTCCCTGGTAGTATCTATACTTAATAGCTGTATTTCAGTAATTATTCCAAGCAATAACAGCAGTTCCATCCACATTCCAATCATGACCATACTATTACATGCATTTTCCTTGGTAGCTTATTTCATTTTGCCTTGGCTCCTTTCAGAGACTTGAATGTTAGTAAGTTCTTTTAGGTGAGCGCAAGCTCCATCAGATGATCTGAAAATTCTGGGGAAGGATAATACTTTTTTTTTCTTTTTAATAATTTACTATTACATATGTGCAACTTATGTCACATAATGCAATTCACACAGCATTTTTAACAGTTTCAAAATTACTTCTGTATCCGATTTAACCTTCCTACTTTCCTCCTGCTTGTCAAAGAATCTACAATTGCTACTAGTGACAGGAAATTTCTGCAACTTGCATGACCAACTAAAACCAGAGCAGATGAACAGGCTGTATTTTTAGTCCCCAGTACAGACAACACCCTCCAGAGATGAAACATATACAGCTACTTAGATAATTTAAAAACTCAAATTTATTACTCGGCAAGACTAAAAGGCAATGCACATTTTCCTTATCCCAAGGGAAAATACAAGTTTTACTCTACAAATAAACAAAATCAAACCACGATTTTAGATTCTACTGATCAATCTACATAATCTTCAATCGATTTGATATTTCAGCTATTTCAAGAAGCCAGTAATTTAGCCTTTCTATGCTGTCATGCCCTGGAGTAACCTAAAGTCAGAGCAGCACCGCTCTGACCTTACTGTCCAAGGCAAGTGCTCCTGATACCTTCTGGAATAAAGACATTCATTCAAACTAGAACTTCTAAATCCCTCTTTATTACTCACAGATGCTTGCTCCTGACCTCTATGATCAGGCGCCAGCAAGTTATGCAGTAATGCAAAAAATGAGGTTAGTCTTTCTTCTTTTTCAAAGTTCCTTAGCTTATAGATTATTGTATTCCATAATATTTTGAAAAATGTAATACCTCCCTCAACTCCCAAGACTCATTTGAAATCAACATATTGCCTAATTTTAAAAACTGTTTCCTAAAAAGAAAAAAAAAAAAAATCCACAACACCATACCTTAGATTCTGTAAGCTTTAGATCTGAACCAAACCAGAAAGAAGGCAGATTATGGTATTCATTCTAGTTATAAGGCAATATTGCTCAGGTCTTATCAAAATTCAGTGTAATTCAAAGGGCACTTATACCTGCTTCTATGACCCAAAAGAAGTGCAGCATAATAGGAGACAGAAACAGAAGCCACCATTACATGACAAGGCTCCCTGCTCTACACCATGAGTCAAATGTAGTAAACTCTTAGCAAGGTTTACTTTCCTAAGTAGTCCTGTTTTACGCATCTTAAAAATACTTTACCTTTAGATTATATTTATGTGCATAATCCAAAATAACAGGCACCAAATCATCAGTTGGTTCTCCATTTTCATCAGCCATACCTGGTGGGTACCATGAAAGCACTATTACACCTGAAAATACAAAACTTAAGTTTTAAATCATGTTGTTTAACATATAACATGTACGTTATAACATTGTCATGAGTTATAATTATTGTTTGATGTGAAATCTACATAATATGAGAATTTCAAATTACTTTTTAACCAATTACAAAATCTCAGTATTCTCAGAGTGGATTTTAACTTCTCTCTTTGTTTAAGAGACAACAAAACAAACAGTGGTAAGATAATCTGTCAAGGGATCTGTTGTGGTTTAACCTCAGTCGGTTAAAAGTTGGGACACCCTTCTCCACAGTGGTCCACTTGCCTGGGTGACATATGACATCTTCCTTGAAGGGATACCTTTCCTTCACGCTTTACAAGAGTCGCCTCTCCAAAGGCTGAGGACTCATGTCCCTTTTCCAATCGCTTTGTCAATGCCCCCTTCCCTGGAAAGGGATCCCAGCTGCTTGGCTTCCCTACCCTCTAATTCCAGGCTACTGGCCCCATTATCCCAGCATTGGAGCAGCCAGGTGACAATATGCTCGCCTGGACAACGGCTGAAATCTTTTCGTGTATCTCGCAGCTCACTCAGGGATAGAGATCAGGCGGTCACCACCTCATTTATGAGTTCTTCCTCTTCTTCCTC